TGCACACCACTCCCTGCTAAGACACGTGGTGCCATTTGCAGATGGTAAGTAATAAGAGCAGCACCGCGCTTCCAGCGGGGGGTGTGTGTGTGTGTGTGCGCGCTTATACCGCGTGTTTGCTGCTTCTGCCGCTCGGTTAAAGGCAAGGCGGGAGGGCGCGTTCCTGTGCCGTGTACCTCAGTCTTTCTCTTAATTTTCAAGTTGTTATTTATCTGTGAGTATAGTCTGGAGCAGAGGAGGCTGAGGGGACCCTTCCCGCCCTCTACAACTGCCTGAGAGGGGGCTGTAGGGAGGGGGGGGCGGCCTCTGCTCCCTGGGAACAGATGACAGGACGAGGGGGAATGGTTTGAAGCTGCACCAGGGCAGGTTTAGCTTGGACATTAGGAAAAATTTCTTCCCCGAAAGGGCTGTCAGGCTCTGGAATGGGCTGCCCAGGGAGGTGGTTGAGTCCCCATCCCTGGAGGGATTTAAAAGAAGGAGAGATGAGGTGCTGAGGGACAGGGGTTAGTGGTGGGACGGCAGGGTAAGGTTAAAGGTTGGACTCAGTGATCTCAAAAGGCTTTTCCAACCAAAGCGATTCTAAGATCCTGTAGGTAGGTGATAATTGGATGAGGCGGGGGGAGGAGAGAACACGGCTGAGATGATGTTTTTACGAAGACCCGGACCTGCGCCTTTTCCCCCCAGGCTGTGGCTTTCGCCCCTCTGTAGGACCCCACAAAAGCAAGAAAGCCCCTCAGCCACCTGAACGGTGGGGTTCTCACCACGCCTGGTTTTTCCTTCTGATTGTTAAGCAGATGGATGCTGAATGGGTGCCACCCGCACCCGGCAAAAGTTGAGCCCCTCCGTCAGCTGAAGTTTCTGCACACCACGTTGCCTCGGAAAGGTCTGGAGGAGTTTTTCGATGATCCAAAGAACTGGGGAGAAAAAAGCGTAAAGTCTGGTGAGTTATGTTTAGCGTTTCTGATAGTGATCTTTGAGCTGCGTGTGCTCAGCTGAAATCTGGGCTGTTCTTTTGCATCACGGGAAGTATTCTTAGCTACATAAAACCTACTCTTTATATGTGTATGTACATAAATATACTTGTGCATTTTATGCCTGTTTATTTTTTCTGTGTTTATGAAAACAAATAGCTATTATGCAGCAAAATATTTTGCTGTAAATCCTCTGCCTTGCTCTTGAGCGTATCACAGAAGAGGTGTTCTTTGATGAAATATACGGTACCGTGGAAGGAAAATACTTCAATGTAAAGATTCATCTTACAGCTTTTCCCTACTCCCAGCCTTTTACAGCCACAAATAAACAGTACATGTCATTGCCCTTTTAATATGTTGGTATTTCCAAGCAAAGCTGAATATCCACAAGGACAACTTTCCAAAAGTTAAAAAAAAGTGGTCCTTGTTCTGTTGAGTCAGCTGAGCCTGCGAATAGAAGCACTTTTTTCAGAATAAGAGAACTTTGTTCAATTAGACTGATTTTTATTTTATTTTTACAGGGGATGCATGGAATATAAAGCAGCTAAGGGGCAAGAGTAGTGAGGACTTGCACAAACTTTGGTAAGTTTTAGCAAAGCAGCTTCTCTTCTTGTAAAGCAGCTCTGCATGTTTTATTAAAATGCCATACTTGAGCCCGCTTTGGCCTTGGAGCAGCCCAAGGTCTGGTGCAGCTCAGGATGCGAAAGCTGTACTGCAGGTGGTCCTGTGATGGCTGTCTGGTACAGAGCGTTCAGGCCTGGCACAAAGAGGCTGAGTTTGAGCCCCTTGGGGGTTGTTCGAACTGCAGGACAGACCTGCTTGGACGTGACCTCCAGTGTGGCTGGCTATGGAAACAGACCAGGCTGCTCAGGTCTGCGGCCAGTCCCATGCTGAAAGTCTCCGAGGCCGGAGGTTGCGTTGCTACTCTATAAACAGCCTGTGCCAGCGCTGAACTTGCACTTAATTATTATCGCAAATGGTTTTTTTCCTTGCTCTGTCTTGTCCTTTTGCTGTGCACCTATAAGAAGAGTCTGTCCCTGCCAGGTAGGGGAAGACTACGTGGCATTAACCTCTTCCCTCCTTAGCTGCCTTTATTCCAGGTTAATTAAACCCCTTTCCCTCAGCCTCCTCGCCTTGTGTCCCGCTCTGGGCTTTCTCTGGTTAGCCAGCATCTTTCCGCTTCCTTACGTGCAGCTAGCGGGTACAGGCTGTGGGGTTACACGTGCTCTGTCCAGCAGGGTAGTGAGTGAATAATTGCTAATGCATCTAGAAATTATTTTTGAAGTACTATGCTTTCTGATCTAGGTATGTCCTACTGAAGGAAAAAAACATGCTTTTAACTTTAGAGCAAGAATCGAAACGACAACTCAGGCCTATGCCAAGTCCAGAACGATTAGAAAAGGTAACTTTTTCATACTAAAAATATAAGTAAAATTGCTGAGTGAAAGGTAAGGCATTTGTAAACGTGTTAAAGACCATTCTCAGAATATTTTCCTGATTTTAGTATAAGTACAAACACTACAGTCAAGCAACACTGTGGGAAAGGCCGCTCTGCCTGTTGTAATGTTAAGAAATCTTTTGCCATCTTGCCCTGCAACTGAGCTAGAGAATTTCTAGAAAATTCCTAGTAAACCCTTCACAAACTTTATCTACTTAACTGTTGTCGCCTTCTTGCCTGACATTGTCTTCTCCAAACTTGTACCCTTTAGTTCTTTCCTGTCCTCACGATTTGCATCCCCTCCTTTTGCATTATTGTGATTCTGCAACTCATTAAATGCTTTCCTCTGTATCTTTACCATTGAAAACTTCATTTATTTATAAATTGACTGTCATCTCTATGCTTATGTCTCATGGGTGGAAATCTATGCCTTCATGGGCCAGTTAAATAATCCAGCTGTTTGGCACGAGAGATATTCTCAGATACCCCCCTATTTATCCAAGTTAATTTGGGAAGAGTCTGACCTTTACATGTTCCACTGAATTTCTTTGTATGGTTTATCATTTAACTTTATATTTGTCACCACACGCCTCTGTAACTGCGTTGTGATCTTTTGGTTTTTGTCTATTTCACCTCTCTCCTACCCTTACATTAAGTGCCTGTTCTTTCCTGTTGTAGCACACAGGGCCCCTTCAGCTGCTTCACTCAGCCCACGACTGTGAGATTGCTCATGACGCAACTCCTAGTGTGTTTTACTTTTCCTTTAAATTTTGGCTTAATCTTCATTTGAGATCTTTTAAATTGTCAGCATTGTGTTTTGTTGGCTCATCCTGAAACTATTTCCTATTTCCAGGTAGAAAAATCTATGAAAAATATTGATTTGGTTGTCAAAGAAAGAGAAATTGCTTTGAGGCTTTTACAAACTGGCCATGAAAAGCCAGTACCTGGCGAGTGGAGACATGACTTCTTGGGACGCACCTACTGGTACGGAAAAGAGAACTTGTTCTTCATGTGTGTGAGTTTTTCTCGTGCTGTGTCTCTTTACCAGAAAATCCTTATCCAGTCAAGAAAGGATGCGCGTATGGTATAGCAGATACTGCCAGATATATGGCAGATATTTAACTTATTTAGAAGCTTCTACCTTCAGCGTTGGTTATTGTCCAGGTACTTTTCTGTAGTCTGTAATTCCAGGTGGTGATGCTGAAGGCCCCAGCAGGACCTGCTGTTTCATTAACCAGTATTTTACCCTCATCTCACTGGCATTTGAAGCGCTAATTGCAGTATTCAGTTCTGCAGTGTAGATAACAGAAGGTCACACAGTATAGTAACAGTGAATTTGGAGTTTACCCACTTGTTTACCCGTTAAATGTATAGCTCAGTGGGGTACTAAATGCACTAACCACTAGCTTTACGTCTCCCGTACACCTCTTTCTGCTTGGAAACACTGTCCACAAAGAAGGGTTTGCCCGTGCATTTAGAAGTCCAGTCCCCAGTTACAGCAGGGGGAAGGGGCAGATGGCATGAAACGGTCTTTATGCACGTGCAGAAACTCAGCGATACACGTATATAGTACGTCTGAGGCAATCTGGCTGCACTGGAGGCTGTAGGTAAGGCTGCACGAGCCATCTGTGCAGCCCATATGCAAAAGAAACCCCAAACAGAAATGACAGAGTCTACAGTTGGAGGGAAAGACTTATGCTCAGGCAGATCTGCGCTTGACATGAAGCTCAAAACACCAGCTTTTAGAAGAAAATTGTAGCAGAGACAAAACTCTTCTCACACAGTTTGTTCCCATCAGCTGTTCAAAGTTTTCTTATGAAGGAATAACTTTAAAATATAAATGCAAAGAACCACTACCTATATTGGGCCCCCTCCTCAAACACCTACAGCTTTTAAAGCAAGACCGCTTTCTACAGAAGGACGCTGAGCTTCGTCCGAGGTGTAGATACAAACCAAGCCAGCCACAGAGCCAAAAGTAAACACATACAAATAGTGCAGTCTACTGGTCGGGCTACTCATTGCCCTACTGTAACCGCGTGTAACTGGGAGAATTCAAGAGCAAAGACAAAAAGTATACGTTCTATAATCCCTTTTATCTCTTTACCAGGTACACTTACAAGGAATGGCCAATACCGTGGTACTTGAACAAAAAACACAAAAAGAGGAAATTCTATTACTTACCTCACGTGAACCGCTTCATCAGGTAAAGATTTTTTTGACACTGAAAGTTATTTTCTGATCTGTTCATCAGTCCTCCTTATTCCCCTTTGCAAGGAAAAAATAGCAGCAATCTTGTTGGTTTTACAGCTAGTAGACCAAAAAGGTGGCTTTTTAAAATTACAGCTTGCTCTGTTTCTTTTTGCTGTTCCCATCTGAGTTAAGAGACCTGGTTATCTATGAGGCTGCACTGCAGAAGTCATTTTACATGCAGAGTACCTAAGATCCAAGGTTGAATTTCTGTAAATTCAAAAGCAGAATAAAAAAAATAGTTTGCTTTGCAGGCATTTTTGCTTATAGAAAGCAAGTTAATACTGAAGTTGTTAATCACTGGGAGCCTCTATTTGATATGGGGGGGTGAGCTCATTAAGGTTGTTACCATCTGGAAATTAACCCTGCGGACTTCTTTATTTCAGGCTCAGACTTGAAAAATCTTTACGTCTAAGGGCAAGGCGGCAAAACCTTGAGAGGACAAGGCGGAAGGTCCTGGAAAGGAAGTTCCCTCACCTCGCTGCAAAATCTCAGAGCCAGTAACATGCTGGAGGGACACTGCAAGCAACTGGTCGAGTATCTTGGTGACTGGGACATGAAACAAGTTCTGAAACCAGCAAACAGCTTGCCTGAGCATTCCTGAGAGTTTGTGTGTTTCGGTTTTGGTTTTTGTTTTTTTTTTTTTTTTTTTAAATCCCACATTTGACCTAAATTAAACTTGTGATCTGGAATTAAAAAGCAGCTTTGGTGCATAACTCAAATTAATCCTAACAGTTGTTTCTAGAACCATTTGGAAAAGGATGTAGTAACCAGCTATTACAAAAGCGAGACACCTAATGAAGTGTGAAAAGTACTAAATGACTGCCAGATGGAAGTATAAAGTGTAGGGGTAGTATTTTACCTGGTTTAGTTTAACAAATATGCATTAAAACCAGACAGAAACGAGAGCCTGTGAAGCTCACGTGCCAGCCTTTGCTCCCTGATCATCCGAGTTAGAGGGACATCACACCTACGCTACACCTGCTTTCTGCATAAAGGCATGGGAGAATGCGCTCTGAGGAACTTTGTCCCTGCTTTAAGTCCAGCTTGCTAGAAAGCAGGAAATATTTAGTATCTGAACTTTTAGCAATGCGGTCTTCATACTTCAAATCTATTTCTACCCGTGACAAATTCAAACATTTGTGCAATGGTTTTTTTTGCAGTGTTTGAAGGAAGACTGCTCATGGCCTTCTAGGAAACTGAAGTAGGAAGGTGCTGCTGCTGCTCTCAGCTAACAGCAAACACCTTCATGAAAGCTTTTAACCTTCAGATGAAGCTGCACGGAAATTTAGAATAAAGTCACAAATACTAGCCTTTGGGGGAGCAGATGTGCCGTGCAATATAATCTGATAAAATACTGGAAACTCCAAGGGAACCAGAACTGCAGGAGATGGACTTACCCATCTCCATCGTGCTGACCTTCCGTTACTCCTCAAGCACCACACGGAATGCCCACTGCTTAAACAAACTCTACAGTGGTGATAAAGCCCCAGGAAGAGCTTTGCTCTCCATACGGTGCGAGAACACTGACAGACCCTACCATCATACTGTAATGCTTTTAGCAGACATACACCGAGGATAGAAGTCAATTACAGACATAGTGAAGCCTAAGCACTTGTCACAGAAGGAAAGCTTAAGGTGCCCAGGCAATTCACAACGAGAAACCAAAAAAAAGCCTACTTTCTATCTTGGCCTCTAGGTACAAGCTGTCCCCTCAATCTTAGCACTTCACTGCTGCCACAGTACCTGTACCAAGCGTTGCTCGTGGGGGTGTGCTCAGCTGACAGGCTCTACGTGAATGCAAACAGGGCAAAGGCTTTTTCCTCCAGTATGACATCACCTAGCGTAGCTGACTTAAGTTTGCCTCCTTGTGTGAGAGAAACACAGTTCGTCAATAGCTTTGAAAATCTGGAGCAATTAACAGTTATCATAAGACAAAAGCAAGCTGTTTTGATAAATTACTTTATTGTTTGGAGGTAATGTGAAACCGTTTTCAACTAGAGGCCTTGTCATTATTTACCCACAAGGTCTTTTAGGATACGAAAAACGTAGCAGTACTGTTTACATTATTTTTTTTAAAATCAGTTAAACGCTATTTGGTTTTCCACAGCTTTTAAAGATAAGGAGCAGAACTTCATTGCGTCCCAATACAGACCATCAGGCAGCTCTAAGTAAGCCTAACAGCAACACAGAGCTGCACCTTGACAGCCAGTTCCTGCTGTTGCTGAGAGAGTCCTCCTCCTTCCTCTGCCCTGAGCGCATGCTCCCCAGGCCGAACGCAGGCACTTACCCGCCCTGCTGGGGGCCAGCCCAGGAGCTGCACCGGCAGCAAGCGAGCAGCCACTGCCCTCTGAGCTACAGCTCCCTGCAAAACGCCAAGCCACAGCCTGAGGTCTTCTGTGGCTGTTCTCTTCCGGGAGAGACAGTTCTTTGCCTTAACTTCCCTGGCTCAACAAGGTTTTGCTTCTCACCTACATCACAAAGGCATTACATACATTCTTAGAAATCAGGTGGCAAAGCACCAATTGTTTACTGAAACTGCCCCATAACAGCAAATTAGCAAACCAGTGCTTAATATAACATTCACTAAGTGGAATGTAAAACTCTCACCAGACAGTTCACTAGAGGTGAACCGAGTCACCTATAGTGGATTACAAATACAAACTTGCCATTTTTGAAACAAAGAGTAACTTTCTCTGCAAGTACTCACAAAGTTGCTCAAATATAAAAGACCAAATTTTATTTTTTAAGAGAGAAATAAGAGCAATTTAAGGCCAAAGTACCAGCAAGGAAGACTAATACCTGAAAGTAGACGAGCTTTTTAATAAATCTGCATGGGCATTTGCAAGGTTATGCCTCTATTAACTAACCTGTAAAGCTGTTCCCAGGAAGAAATACTAGCGAAAATAGACATTTATACAAAATTATAAAATGCTTGTTACATGAATTATTGCTTTACAAGGGATGTAAACATCCTTTTTCTATGACAGTACCAATTAGATCGCCCAAAGTTTCTACGGTTTGTTAAAATGGAACTTGAATTATGCAAAAAATCCAATATAAACTTTCTACAAAAAGAGTCCATCCCATTCCTGAGTATGCTAAAGCTATAAAACAGAAGGAGCACTGAGCAGGCAGCAGTTTTCACAGTAAGAGGTTTAAGGACATTTTCTTTCTACACACTGTTTCCCTCCTTCTTCATATTCTTGTTTAGAAATCCACATCTGTTGAAAAGTACCCTACAAAAACAAAACACAAAAACCCAATCAGAAAACAAATGAAGGTTAAGCGGAACACGATTAGCTTTTCCTAGGACAAAGAACAAGCAAGTCTTTACATTAACTGAGGCAAGAGGACTTGGCCTGCTTATATTTTCCTTCAAGTTTTACATTGCTAGCGATGAAACTACAGACACGAAGCTGCAGTACCGAAATTAGATCTCACTCTCCCTTTCCCATACTGCTAAATTAATCCACACAAACCATTTCAGTACTCAGTAACTTGTAGAATTAAGCTCAGGAGTATGATGAAGAAACAGGTTTGCTACTTTCACAGTGCACTATATACATATAATGTCATTTCTAGACACTGTATTTCAAGCTTGCACCTTGCCATTAAGAATGGGAGAAAGCGGCAAGTTATTTTTTGATTGGAAATGCTCATGTCATCTTGTTTTTTAAACAGATTCCCTTCACCTTACCACAAGGAGAGACAAGATTACGATTGCTACAGCAGCACAAACTCTGCAGTGCACACTCAGACGCAATTAGATTTTTGGGTGACAGCGCAGCTTAGCATAGCAACATGGTAACGCAGGTTTACTAACCAAAGAAGCCAAAATCGAACCACCAATCCACGAGCTGAACCTTCGCTCCACCGTTGTGTTGTTCGCTATCAACTTCAGGCGCATGCTCTGAGTAGAAAAGGAGGTAAAATGAAAGAACAGTCGAACAAATTGTAGGCTGGTGACCTTTAGGGACAAGAGAACGACAGCACAAGGAACTTGGTGTACACACCAACATGCGGGTGGAAGAGGTCAATGTCATTGAACTTGCAATAATGACCATCTGCCCTGTACGTAGAATTCCAGACTAGCCACAGTGGACCAGAACATGTGTGGTGTTCTTGCCTCCCAGGAGGGAGCAGCAGCAAATGCTTAAGGCGAGAAATAGGGCAGGCAGAGAGCAGTAACACAGTATATACTGTCATCTCTAAAACCAGGCTACTTAAAACATGCACTGGGACTAAAACGTTTAACATTGCTGAACTTAATTCATCTAGTCCTTTTTGGACCTATTCATTCCTTTTGCTTTCAAAACGCCTTGTAGCAGTAAAATCTTTGCATTTCAGTGGGTTCCTCCTCAGCTATTATAAGCAGCAGTGAGTAACTTCCTCTCTCAGATTCTCATAACATTCATGGTTTCAGAGTTGCTACATTTTTTCTTGAGTGTGAACATTCAAGAAATATTATATGTGCTCGCAAGAACACAGGTGTAAGGTATCAATACTGTCTTTGACATCAACTGATTTAAAAAAAAAAAGAAAAAAAAAGATATAAGTACATTAAATCAGCAGGTTTTATCTATGAGTAGGTGAGTTGTCTGTAGGATCCCGGAAGAACAATCCCCATGACAAAGTGACAAGACCTCAGGCAGAACGACTGAATGTGCCTCAAGTTAGTCAGCAACACTTCAGAAGAGAGGCCATCAAGGGAAATAGTGACTGCTGCTTAGGGACAACTACAGAACTTAGAATCACAATCTGAAAGCAGGAACTGAGAAGTAAAATATTCAGAAAGTAGTTATAATACCTGCTGGAATTCATTTTGTGTAAGCACTTTGAGACTTCTTTCTTTTCTTTAGAGAAGGAGGAGATTTCTTACCCCACAGAAATCTCTTCAGCTGCTGGGTTCCCAACAAAGTCAAAGCTACGATACACAGCTGTGTATTTATGTGACAAAAAGCAAAATTATAAGTAACTCAAAGCAGTAATTTAAGGAGTTATTTTACCGGTGGAGTTTTCTGAGACAGTTCTCTGTTCAATCTGTCTGTGAAACTCTGTATTAGGGTGTTTCCTCCTGCTACAATCACGCTGCCATAGAGGCCCTAAAAAGAGAATAAGCAACCTACAATATTAACTCTGAAATCATTCTGAAAACAACTATTTCACAGAATAGAGGAATGGCACACAAGTACACACAAGCAACAGCAATAATACATCACTTGATGCCAGCAATATTACCTCTCCCAATCCAATTAATTTGTTAACCACTTGAACAGCATTCAATACATCTTAACATTAAACTACACAAGGAAGACAGAAGCTGTGATTAACAATTCTACATGGTGCCACAGAATATTTCCTACTGTAGAGAACCCTACACCTACAGGTACCTCCTGTGTCCAAACCATTGGTTTCCGTACAGCGGGATGTTCCAACCACAAAAGAAAACCCCACAGCCCTGCAACAGTTTTCAGTCTCACTGATGCTGCAGTTGGTGAACGCAAATCATGGTCTGGCCTACTAAGCCAGCCTGACATGCAAATTAAGAGGAAAAATTTTTGAATCAACCCCCATGCAGTCCGTATCAAACTCGAATATTTTCAAATTGACATCTGAGAAAGTCAGAACAGAGTTTTAAAAATAAAGTTTTCCTTTAAAACCTCTTTTCTTCCTTCTACTCTCCACAAAAGTTCCATGGGATTGGTTACGTTTAGAAGGTGTATCTGCCACACCCAAAAATCTGACACACACAAAGCTATGAACATAAAATGCTCATCTGAAGCCAATCCAATGCACGTTATGCAGCGCCAGCCACAAAATCTGGACATTAGCTATTTAAATATAGGTAGCAACACTGACTAAAAGTAAAAAATCCCGATTTAGCATTTTGTAAGACAAAACAGTAATTGTACCTATTCCTATATACAAGTAGGTAATTATTCCAATGTGTTTATCATCATCCTAGGAAATCCACACTTCTTCATGAACAGTGTTCTAGTCCCGCAAAATTGTATCAGCACAAAAATATCTATGTCTTAAAATAATACATGTCTGACTAACACCACTTACCGGCCTGATGTCTATATCACACATTCCAACGCTTGTTGTGACAACGTGGCTCACACCCAACATCGTGTTACCAGATAAACCCTAGAATTAAAATTAGTAATCTACACATCATTGCTTCAAAAGAGCAAGGCGTACAGAAGCCCTGAATGCGCTGAATTTACAAATATTATGAGAGGGAGCTAAGCATTTTTTAGGGAAGGGAAAAAAAAAAAATCCTGTTTTCCCATTCAGCCCATCACCACCCATTTTGAACTGCATTTCTTCCTTTGCTAGCCCAACCCTAAAATAACACAGGCAAATCGTACCCCCAAGAGAACCACACAGTGTAAATACACTCATACAAATCATGAAATTAAGAACATTATCCAAACGGAAGCATGTGCCAGGGCGGGTTTAGGTTAAGGTTGGACATTAGGAAAAATTCCTTCCTGGACAGGGCTGTCAGGCTCTGGAAGGGGCTGCCCAGGGAAGGGGTCGAGTCCCCACCCCTGGGGGGATTTAACAGCCGGGCAGAGGCGGTGCTGAGGGCCAGGGTTTGGGGGTGGGATGGCAGGGGTAGGGGAATGGTTGGGCTGGGGGAGCTTAAAGGGCTTTTCCAACCTCAATGATTCTGTGATTCTATTCTATGATAATCTAGTAATTTAAAGCCTTCCAATTACTACACATCACAGTTGTTTTACCTTTACATTAGAAGGGTCAAACAATCCCTCAGGAATTTTCAGACGCTCAGCACCAAAGTCACAGTTATAGCCATTGGGGAACTCGTAATGCACTGTTGGCATCTGCGCTGCTACCCTAGAGCATGAGTCAGAAAGTAACGTATTGAAGTGCAACGTAAATGGGATGTTAAGTTATCTAAGTAGCATTATAAACCAAGGTTTCAACTGGAATATTGTGCCTGGTTTCAACTGGAATATTGTGACTGATACAATTTACACTTTTGATAATATTTATTATGATCTCATGCATCTTGGAATATTAAATAAAAAACTATCACCTGGATGTATGCTGTATTTCTACTTTCAGAAATAAACAGATTTTATCTAAAAACTACTTCTGTTGTAAAACCAGCTAACAGCAATGAACAGGCTGAGCACCCCATGCACAAATGATAATTAATTTTACAAGAAGGAAAACAGCAACGTACTGTTCATCATAAGTCGAGTCTGATACTTGGAGGACAGAAGCTTGGAAGTCCTGAATGACACACTATGGAGTTAAGAATAATATGGTTGTAAGAATTTCAGTCTTCAATTTGATAGAATTTATAGAATTGACACGGACTTTTGACACGGACTTTTAAAAAGGTTTTCTAGTTCTACAAGAGGAGAACCCAATGAACTTGCAAACAAAACCTCTTTATGGGACACCTAGGGGAGTATGAGAGTGGGAGAAGTGACCTACTTACATTACACATGTAGTTGTGCCAGGACCTAGTGACCTGGGGTAACTTCTCTTTTCTCTTCCAGTTTGCTGGCGACCCCTCACGAACTGCCTCCTGAGATTGTAGGAAATATGATCATTGGTTTACCATTTAAGACTCTCCCCAAGCAAACACTTACTAAATTAAGTTACTTTCCCACCTTTGAAGCAATCATATATGGAGGAATTATCTCTATGTTCATTTCCTGAAACAATTCCCGGCACTGCATAGTAATAAAGTCTCCTGCAAGTGGTGATTTTACAATACCTAAAAGACAAAACAGACAAAAAGCCACACACAAAAGAGAGAGAAACAAAAAAACCCAACACCCCCCCCCCAACCTAGAAAGCATTGAAATCATGAACAAACTCTTCCAACTATTTGTCACTGAACACCATTAGGTTTTTGGGGTTTGGGTTTTTTTTTTCCCATATTTAAGGGGATACAATTTTGTCTTGTTTTTAAGTCTGTGTAAAAGCATAAAGCTAACTCGACCTTGATACTGCAATGTTATTATCTGTGAAAATTTTTACCTTGCTGAAGTACGTATCCATCGTGCACTGGAATAGCAGTGGTGTGTGTTGCTCCACTATCCAAAATGAGACCTGTAGATCTCCCGTTAGCAAAACTAGCCAAAAGGATTAAGGAAAGTATTGTCATTTTCACTTTAGAAAAAAAAAACGTTGCCATACAATTGGAGCATAACTAGGAATGAAGACCCCCGCGTGTTATTGCTTTTCCAGCACATATGTTCTTTCTGTGAAGTGCACAACCTCACAGAGAGCACGGCATTTAACTTCTACCTGTGAACTAACTTGAGCTTCAGACGTACAAAGGTGAGACTTCACATCAATGCCATGCAGCAAGCTCTAAGTACATCCAACTCATTTAGGCTCTGAAGCTGAAAACATGTTATTAGTTTAAAATAATTACAAATATTCATCTTAAGGCTATGGGATCTTCAAGCTCTAATTACAGTATTTAGTAGCCTAAACAACACCATTTCAGATCTGTAATATTCTTACCCATTGTTACAACGGGAGGGGAAAAAAAAAAAAAAAAGACAACTAAAAAAAAACCCCACCCAAAAAACCCCTGCAAAACACATCACCTCCAAGGAAAACAGTCAGATTGGGAGAACTTCAAAACTGAGCTCTAAAGCTTTCAAGTTCAGAAAGGGAATTTGTTTACTTCCTCCTCAGATGTTTATGGAAAAATTAATTTGAAAGAAGAAAAGTTAGACATGTTGTTATACTAGGAATTGCCTAGAATAAGTTTAGCGTAATTTCCTGGTGGGGTGGGGAAGTGGTGAAGCATTCCAAAGGATACGCTGTTAGAACAGCGGTTTTACACAAGAAAAAAGCAGGGATGTTGTAGTGTTCAAACATCAACTCAGTCAGTTTTTCACGCTTTGCTCTAGTATTCCACTAGAAGAAAAAAAAAAAAAAATAAAGCAAGCCACAAATAAGTGACCAAAAGGAAGACATGTTTCTATTGAGGATTATTAGAGCGCACAAAAAGAATGCTAACACAATAAAGAAGTAATTAGAATTATTATAGCCAGTTTCAAATAATATCAAAATTCTATAGAGACAGATTTCTAGTAATTTACTTCTTTAGAACCTTTTTTATTCCAATTCTACAACAACACGTTAGTGTTTATCTATCACATAGAATTAAAAGTGATACACGCTTTTACTGTTACAACAGAGGTTTCTTTACACTTCAACAGCTCATCCAGTCTCAGTCTCTCAAAGAACTCTCTAAAACAAGGAACACGCCCATTTTACAAGGGGAAAGATACCATGAAATAACTTGCCCCACTGAAAGAAGAATAAATCCAGATCTCCCTGTTTCCAAGGTATCTTCCTACAGTTCTACTGCACTTGCGATTAAGCCAGGATAACTATCAAATATTTTACACGTTACAAAAAACCACAAAGTTTTTTCCAAGCCAATACGTTAGATTAGTTCTATAAGGTGAATGTTAAGGGGAACTTCTATTCAGACACCCACTGAGCCGTCAAACATGAAATAACCAAATTCATCCATACTCCACAAGCTACAACTCAACACAAGGAAATAATGAAAAAGAAAACCCTTTCATAATATCTTATTGAAGAAAGGCATAACTGTTGTGTGGCATGTCTACCTTTTATATTCTGACTTTAAGATCTGTCCTTCAATTGCTGAGCATTACTAAATGACACAAACCTTGTCCGCGTTGTTTTTCCAGAAATTTTTATTCACCCACCTCACTTAACTCACGGGGCCATTTACAGAAATGAAGACAGAAAAATTAAAACTTCTTCATTATAAATATTATTGTCTGTCAGGTAATATTAGTTGTAAGGCTGAATGAAGCAACAGGTTTTCAATGGCATTTTATTTTACACTTAATACAACACCTAAGAATCTTTTTGCTTTTATTCTAGGCAGTAAAGTAAGATTTATTTTTTTTTATTTTGACTTCTTTTCAATAAGCGAAAGACAACAGCACATAGTAAATACTTTCCAACACAACTCATGAAAACAATTTGAAATAGTTTGCTTTTTTTAGACATTTTTCCTAAACAGATTGCTTTCCAGAACCTGGCAAAGTATCTTAAAATTGTTATTTCTGTGGTTAAGTTTTAACACTTGTAACCTAACAAGCCAGCGTCAGACTTGTTCAAGACCGATGTTGATAGAGTCAGCAAGAAGATACAGTAAAGACTTTTCAAAATGCAAAGCTGCTTTTACTCACTGGTGCTTCGGACATAAGGACAGGATGCAAACTTGCTTCAGATTTAATATGCATCTTGTAAGTGTGATCCAAAATTGCCTGGAAGCTATCCCAGTCTTCAACTGTAACAACATCGAAGCGAGCAGATTAGTTACTTCTAAGTTTTGTTCCATTTCATAAATACATAAAGGTTTTCCAATGCTTTTGTGTAGAACTCTAGTCAAAAGCTATCCTCAGCAGACATACACCTCCCTTCACAGCTTTGCACAGTTCTCACAATTTGCAAGCACCGTAATCAGAGCATCTCAAGGATCATGCCGAAAGTCCACCAACATTGTAAGCCAACTATCCTTCACACAATTTGTAAGTCGCGTTATCTGTTCTTACGGCTTCTGTTGCCATACGGAACATCTGCTTGCATGAAAGCTGTGACTTTTTACAGCCTAGCAACGCCATTCTAAAAACAGGTAGAAAAAGACAGAGCACCATACTCATTCCGTTTTTTAAAGGTGAAATGGCCTCCATGTTTTCCCTCGGAACTCTCAGGGCATTGGTGTCTATGTAGTAAGTCGGGCCCCCTTGTTTGCCTTTGTCACCATCTATCTCCATCAGAGTGCTGCCATTGTCCCTTTCCAGCACCACACCAATAGCTGTTGGAAAATCAACCTGTAAGGCAAGAGGTAAGGAGTATATGAGAATTTTTAAATGTTTTGGGTGGGCTTTTTTGCTCATAAATTCAGAGCTTTCCTTATACAACACAGCCAGAACAAAAGCCAGCATATTCTGAGAACTCGTAACCAAACAAGATTTAAGGTGATGCATTTCCATAGAGTCACGCAGATTCTCACCTTTGGACAGTCCTCGCCTGCATAGCCTGCTCTCACCGTATACGAGCCAATGTCAAAAACAAGAGCCCCGACTTCATCTGAAAAGATTGTTGATAAAGACATAGCAGTTATTACACTCTACTATGATCCTGACCTTTCCCTGCCCCACTTGTTTTGCCTGCAAAAGCAGTGAGACATCAAGATGCTTCTCAGTTCAGAACTCCAGTTACCAGAGAGCTGTTAGAAGACTGCAGATAGGCTTTAACTTGGATACTGCACTACCTTCCTTCGGCAAAAGTAAAAGCGGAATTTTAACAGAAGGGGGAGAACACAGTTGCATCTACATAGATTACAAAGTTTCCAAAAAGTGCTAATTTAACAGGGATGCAAACCCAGGTGAGCGGGGGCGACCAGAATTACAAGGTGGGCCTGACGCCAGCAACTCTGTAAGTGAAGCACCCCTACCCTTGTGACGCCCACCCTCGCTGGGGGGCCCTGAAGAAAGCACCCTCCAGAAAAGCACAGCCTGAAACAAAACACGCGGACCTCAGCCCTCACGGCAGGAGGGGTGCTCTGGGGAGGAAACTACACCCCAGCTCCCAAGGCGCGGGGTCCCCTCGGGCCACCCCGCACCCGAGCAGCGCTAACGCGGCCCAAGGAGGCTCGGCCGGGGGGAGCGTCTCGGCTGAACGACGCCGGGGGACACGGACAGACGGACGGA